TTTTGCCCTCCTCTTCCCCCTTCCTCCTCCTCCTCACAGCTGAAATTAGCTCACAGTGTCTTGCTGCAAGCTGCAGGCTCTGCATTTTAGAGCGAAGCGGGAGCGCTGCTGGAAACTGCATAAACACGAAGCAAATGCATAAATACGAAACAAACGCCTTTATTCAGTACAGGAGCATTAACACTCCAGAAGCACATCAGCAGCTGCAGCACTGCTGGGGTGATCAGGAGCTGGGGTACAGGCTCAGCCCTGGGCCCAGGATTTCACTGGCCCCATCCACCCAGCTTTGACCTCCCCTCGCTGCCTCCCCTGCCCTTAAAACCCTGGTTTTCTTTTCCTGTGGCCTCCTGCACCTGGCTGATTGCCAGTGGGTAATTCATAAGTGTTAATAGCATTAATCTGATTCAGCGTGTTCTTAGCAAGATGAAATTCTCTCTAAATTCAGATGCATCTGATCTCCCCCATCTGCTGCTGATACTGGTTGGGAACCTTGCTGCAGTGATGTGCATCCCCTTCTGGATGCTGGCACTGGGGCAGAGTGGTCCCTGCAGGGAAGGCTGGGGGAAGAGGTGCATCCCGAGGGACCCAGCTTGGGGCAGAAGTGGGGGGCAGGGAGATGGGACTGGAGTGTGGGGTGCTGGATGCTGAGAGCAGCCTGCCAGCACTGCCGCTAGTCTTGATTGGTATTTGATTTGATTTAACATGATCTCCCGCTTGTAAAACACCTTGAGATGTTTCCGTGTGTGAGGCTGTCCTGGAAACGCTGTTGTACTGTATTAATGAGCCTCTGCTGGAACATAAAGAAGCATCATTAGGAGTGCTGAACTCGTCTGACGTGCAAAAAGCAGTGCGCAGCATGGGCACGCCGTGCACCGAGCTCTGTGCCCCGGGTGCCTGCAGCTGGGCTGCTGCTGGCACTGCCAGGATGGGATGTGGTGGCTGCTGGGATGCAGTGGGCACTCAGGATGCAGCAGACACTGAGGTGCAGCAGACACTGGGGTGCAGTGGGCACTGGGATGCTCCTGGCACGCAGCTTGGCATGCCCGTGCTGGCAGCTGTGCTGTGTGTTGCTAAGCAGTCCCAGCTCTTGCAGTGCTTCCCTATGCTTGCCTTTCTCGGGTGGCAGAAATGCATGTTAATATTCGAGTAGCCTTGAAGCATGCTGTATTATGCCATTATCGCGGGGGGGCGGGGAAGATTGCGAAGCTCTTGGCGTTTAACACCCACATGTGGCTAACACTATGGGCTGTGTGCTGATAAAGATGGGGTAATTAAAGTTTAGTTTTTTTTATAGACTAATCTCCCAAGTATGTATTTATGAGCCTGATTTAGAAACATCGTATTACCGAGAGCACGGGATATTTGTGTTGCTTGTAAATCCATACGTGGTCTGAGCTTACCTTACTTTTTTTTTTTTTTTTTCTCTTTCTTGGATTTAAGCAGCGCTGCCACTATCAGACAGAAACGAGCCTGGAGTTTCGCTGTACTTTTCCCCCACCTTGTTCTTTAGATGAGCAAGGGAAAGTGTACAAAGCAGTGAGTAATTAGCTGCATGAGCAAATGATATTTCATAGGAGGCACGGTGCATTTGGAGGGGCTGCTTGCAGAGTGGCTTTGAATTTATCTTCATCTTGCAGGAGGTGCACAGTGTTCAGGGGAGGGAGTGCTTTGCAAGCACCAGCACAGTTCCCTTTTCTTTCCTACTTCTCCCTCGCACAACCTGGCAGGTTGATTCTCCCCATTTGATAGGATGTGATTCCTCCTGCCCACCCTCCTGGTGCATCCCTCTTTGGATACGGGCACTGCTGGGTGTTGGGCTCCTGGACCTGCCCCCATTGCTTTCCCCCTGCAAGTTAGGCTAAAACCAAGGCTGAGCTCCATCGAAACCACCCAAGGCACAGCAGAAAGCTGTTTAATTAAAAATAAGGAGGGAGCATCTCAGGATAGCAAGGATTTGCTAGGAATCTAGGGAGCAAGCTTGGTCTCAGCTGTGCCCAGACATAACGCAGCAATCGTCATCTTGGGCTTTTTGGACCACAAGCTGAGACTGAGATTGTGCACTGAGGGTTTCAGGAGCTCCTGAGTCCCATCTTCTACCTGGGGAGGTTATGCATTCCCTTCCACACCTTCTCCTGTAGCTGACGGCTGATAGCAGCCTGTTCTGTGGAAGTACGTTTGCAAATCTGCAATTTAAACACTTTCCTGGAGGCCCAGAGATCACAGGGGGAGGAGGGAAGTGCCCGAGCACAGCTTCTCCTGCAGCGCTGAGCCGCGTCGGATCCCACCCCCAGGACAAGGGAGGAATTATTCATTTTGTTTCACATCTCGAGCCGGAGCGCGCAGCCCTGCTGAACCTGTTGAGGTTTGTTTAGTTAGCAGTGGGTTGTTAAGAATACATTTGTGTTGCTAGAGGGCTGCCGCTCAGCTGGTTACCTCCAGATGGGTGTTTGAGCACAGTGCAGGAGAGCTTATGCTGGAGCATCAGCGGTGGGATGGAAAACAGGAGTGTCCCTCTGCTGAAGGAGCGAGGGAAGGAGCTGCTTTTCCATCAGGCTGTCTTACAGCTGGCAGCAAACTGTCTGTGAGCAATAAAGAGCTGAGCTGGAAAGCACAATGCTGCTCGAGCAGAAGTCCCGTAGTCTTGGTTCAGTTGGTGAAAGCCAACTGCAGGCAGTTCTAGGGGTCAGTAATTAGAGCTGTGATGGAAACAAGTGGGGGGAGGAGGAGCTGGAGGAGAACTGGAGCAGCGGCCCTCCCTTTGGGCAGCCAAGCTCATGCTCATGGGGATGGAAAAGGCTTTTGGTTGGCTCAGGCTCCTGTGCTCCTTTCCTCATAGTGACTGGGAGAGAAGCAGGCATGGGGATGGAATGGGGATGGGGTGGGGGTGGGGATGGGAAGCTCCGGGGCCCTAATCCAGCTCTGCTCTGCAGCAGGGTGCTGAAGGCTGCCTCACATACCTGTGGTTCAGGCTCTTTGTGAGAAGGGGATAATACTCCCCTAACTCATAAGGGATTTGCGATTTAATGTTTGCAAAGCACTTTAAGACCCTGGATTGAAAGGTGATTTATAATGGTAAAATCCAGTGTTCTCTGTTCTATTGTATATTTGACTGTGTCCAATTATCTCGATAGCAGCTTTTTTCCATCTTTTTTTTTCTTTTTGCATGAGTATCATAACTCCAACCAAAAGCTGGGTCTGTGGCAGGCACAGTATGTCCTGGGAGGAAATGAGTTTGGAGGTGCTAATTTATGCTGATGATACAAATAAAGATTGGGAAGGAAAAAAGGGCGTTGAGGGGTGAAGGGCAGAGATGGGTGATAAAGCTGTGAAATAGTGAGAAAGCTGTTTAGATGCTGCATGCGTAAGGAAAGTAAAAGATGCTTTATAAATAATCATTTTGCTACTCCTGTTGTCAGAGGGATAGGGGGTGTTTTCCAGCAGATCAGCCACTCCTCCTGTCCTGCAAATGCCAGGAGCAGGGAGGCTTTGGTGAGGCATGCTGCTTGCCTGGAAAACACAGGCTGTGCCCTGGGCTCCGCCAGTTCCTTGCTCTGGCACCAGCATCTCTAAGCGGATTTGATCAAATTATAGGGTGAAACACACGAGTGCTAACTCGCTGGATGCATTTCCCGTTCAATTTTCAAGCAGATGCTTTTTAAATCTCACTTTGCTGATGAAAGAGTGAGGGCAGGGAGCTGGATCAGATTCCAAAGATAAAGACGCGTCCTCGCCTGAATCCTGAGCAGTGATGTGGCCAGGAGAGCAGGGAGCAGATCTTGGGTTGGTGCTTCCCTGGGGCCAGGATGCTGGGGCTGTGCTTGTGGGTGGGTAGCATTGGCTGGAGAACATTTCTCCTGGTCCCCTCCATCAGAGTGTGGCTCATGTGCTCCTGGCCTGCTCAGAGCATCTCCTGGGACAGCTGGGTCTCTCCTATACATGGCTTCATTACCTAGTCTCACATCCTTCCCCTGCATTGCCTGGGGTTGGGTCTGCCCCACTATGCTGTAACAGACCTGATTCAGTCATCCTAATCTGCTGGTGACTTTGTCACTCTCTAAACCTGCTGTTTGAGGCCAGGTTGGACTGGGCCTTGGGCAGCCTGATGTGGTGCTTGATCTAATTAGTGGTTGACAATCCTCCCCACAGCAGGTCTCATTAGGTCAGTTTGCTGGTTGGACATGGTGATCTGTTGGAGATCTTATCCAATTAACTCGGTTCTCTGATTCTGTAATTCCATTGGTTTAAAAAAAAAAAAGAGAGAATAAAACACAAAGCAACAGACAAGGCTGGCCACGTGTGCAGGTACACACAGAGCAGGGAGGGGTTAAGGAATGTCCCCATGGTTGGCTTCTCAATGCAGGTGTCCCCTAGCCTTGATGTCCAGCACATGGCCTTGGAGCTGGGGACAGGTGACCACATCCCATCCAGGTGCCAGCTTCAGAGGCTCCTCTTTGTGCCAGGGAGTATTAAGCTGGCACTTGCAGCAAACCCTTCTGTGAGCTGCTTTTCTGAAGATACCATAAGCTTCTGTGACTGACAAAATAAAACTTCATTTTGTAATATCTGCTGCCTGTAAAAAGTGACTGGCTCTGTAGATTGCTTTGTTGTTCATCACAGTCCCTGTGTGATGACTGAATGTTTATACATGTTTGGGTAAATAATTAACGCTCATTGATGCTGTGTAAAATCTGCAGGCATAGATTTCTCCTGGTGCTAAGTGAGAAGAAGTGGTGTGATGGTGCTGGCTGCCCTTGGGTTTGGATGGGGTGTTTTTGTGACTTGATAAAATTTGCCACATAAACCCAGGCTGATGAAAACTGCCTGCATCTTGGCTGGTGGGTCCTGCAGGACCACAGGAAGAACGTGATGGGAAGGATGGGGTTGGAAGGCTCCAGGAGCTCTGGTTCTGGCAGTGGGAGAAGCAGAGCAAGCTGGGGAGCCTTGGGGCTGAGGCTCGATCAGTACCTCCCGTGGCTCCCACCTCTCTTTCTGCTTTCCAGGTTCGATGAAAAGCCCTGTCAACAAGACAGCCCTGACTCTGATTGCCGTCAGCTCCTGCATCCTGGCCATGGTGTGTGGCTCTCAGCTCTCCTGCCCGCTGACTGTCAAGGTGACGCTTCATGTCCCCGAGCACTTCATTGCTGATGGTGAGAGCCCACGGGCACCCCTACCCCTTAACCCCTCCTCACAGCTCTCCTAAAACCTCCTTAAGTGTGCACTCAGCAAGAGGACCGCACCATGGAGCTAAACTTGCCTCTTCTACATTGCACCTTTGTTGTTGTTATCACTGTACATAGCTGGTGGATGTTCCTGTTTTCCCCTGGACTCGCTGATGAGCCCTGGGAGCAGCACAGACAAGCTCCTGTCCTGCAGCAGCTGAGCCGCTTGTCTCAGCCCCTTGCAGCAGCACAGAGTGGAATTGCTAGTGTTTGAGCCAAGGCAGAGATGCTTTGAAAAATTAGACATGGGCTGCTGTCACTATTTATTGCTTTCTCCGACTGGGCTCCTTGCATTTGTTGTGTTTCGCTGACCTTTTCTTTATAATGTGCAGTGAGCGTCAAGTGCAAGTTTTCAGTAAGACGAGGGCAAATTTCATTTTCTTCCAGCCAACGAAAGCCATTATTCAGTCGGTTCCAATTGCTCAGCTCCTGTACTTGCCATGCTGCTCGGGGCACGCTGAAGCTTCTCCCTGCCAGAAACCCACAGCACCCAGCCCCATACTGGGGTCAGGATGGAGGGCAGGGAATGAATATGTCGGGGATAGGAGTGTACTTGAAGAGGTGCAGTGGTGGTGGAAGGAGCAGGGCTTAAAGCAACACCCCATGACATAAAGGAGTTCCACAGTCTTTTTTAAAAGAGTTTCATCCTTACTAAGGGTGGTTTCTTCCTGGAGTTGGTATGCATATGTAGGAAGTCAGTGCTCTGTAATACAGAGCTCTGCCCAGCCTGAGCCTCACCACATCCGTGTGTCTGTGCCTTTAAGGATGCCTTTGGGATGGCACTTCTAGCCCAGGAAAGGCACTGTGGGCTCGAAAGCTGAAATAAAACGTAATGCGACTGCTTAGAATTGAAATGAAAAGCTGAGCCTGTGCTTGTCACCAGGAAGGGAGTGGCAGTGCAAATTATGCAAATACGGAGAACACTCAAATGGAAACGACAGTGAAATACCAATAAAACAGATTAATATCATCAAAACTGGGGGAAATGGGATGATCTCCAGTTCCGACTTAATGACTTTTCTAAAGAGAAAGTGGCAGGAGGACTGGTAAAAACGGTTTGGAGAAGAATTAAAATGAGCTTTGTAATGAAACTGTAAAATATAATTACAAACTGCAAAAACTTTAAAAATATTCTTTATGAGAAACAGTCAAGTTCTTCACAGAGAAGCAGTGAAGACATTTTGCAGCGGCCATCAGTTTTACTGAAATCTCATCATTTTATGCGGTGGCAGAGTCCTTCGCCTGGGAAGGGAAAAGCTCTTAAAGTTGTCCCTTCTATTTGAATAACAACAAATCCCAAGGCAGCACCAAGCTGGCAGCAAAATACTGTGAAACATTTAAAGGCATCACTGAGCTGAGCCCGGTTTGGAAATTGTAATGGCACCCAGGAAAACGTTGCTGGCTGTGTTTGCAGAGATGGGATGCAGCTCGACACCAGAGATCCTATCCTGGTGGCTGACAGGGGGCTGTGCTCCTCTCTAAAAGCCCAGGTGACTTTTTGGGTTCATTTCCAAACGCGTGGGGCTGCTTTTTACCTGGTTGCCAAATGTTGGGTCTGGGGACATGGGTATCACCACATGGAGCTGGAAGGAGCACAGCCCCAGTGAGGCTGGAAGCTCAGATCAGCCTGAAGCCTGCTGCACCTAGCAGCTCATAATTCTGCTGTGCTTTTAAGCAGTCTGGATCCTTAAGCTCTTCTCCTTTGTATTTGCATGATGGTGAGGCAGGCTAGGCAAGCATGCAGGGCAGCGCATTCTCTGGAGATGTTCCTGCACAACAGAAGGGTGCCCACTAATTCCCATTTGATGACAGTATTGCAGTAGATGCCAGCAGCCAAGGAAAATCTCACAGCAGAGAAAGAGGCCACCTCTGCAGGAAAGGCCAAAGAAAGACAGGCTGAAAGCTATCCTGCTTCTAACAGATGAAGACTCAGCTTTGAAGGAAACTTGAAATAGACACAGGCCAGCTCTGGTGCGCCAGGATCCGAAGCCAAGAGAGAGGAGGGAGGGAAGCGGCCCCAGCATGTCTGCAGCCCCCAAGGAGAGAAGCTCTTCCTGCAGCCAGCAGCAGCAATGGGAAAAGGAGCTCCCAAGCCTGTTGGAGTCGCTAATGGAAAGAGGAGGGGGGAAGAACTGGGACCAGGAGCCAACTGGCAGCAAAGGCTGGGAGAACAGATTACCACCGGCAGTATTAATAACCAGCCTGTCTCTATTGCCCTTATTTCTCTCTCTTGGTTCATTTTCCTCCTTTTGTTCATTTGATGGGTTCTCCCCCCCTCTCCTCTCCCCTCTGAACAATTATTGCCTGGTTTGTACAGCTGCTCTGTCTTCATTTTCCAGGGCAGCCAACTACACGAGGACCTGGCACAAGCTGCTGCACCGTACCATGTGCTGGCAGGGGGAGACTGGGGGCCTCCCAGGAGCACATCTGTGCCCATCAATCCCCTCTTGCAACACACTGCTTTGTGGGGCTGAGGAAGGCACTTGCTTTGTCCCTGCTTTTCATGCTGCAAGACGTTTCATTAAACCAGCAAGGATAGGGACACTTCTTTTCTTTTTCTTCCTAAAATGACTTGAGCATCATCTGCCCCCTTCTGCAACATCCACAGAATCATAGAATGGCTTGGGTTGGAGGGAACCTTAAAGATCAGTCAGCTCCAAACCCCTACTTTGAGCAGGGTTGCCAGTCACTAGATCATTCTGCCCAGGGCCCCATCCTCTGCTCCATCCTCTGCTCCATCCTGCAGCATGCTCCTTTTCTTTCTCTAGGCTGTGGGGATCGTGTCCCCATCGTGGCAGCAGCTTGGGCATCCTCTGGCCACACCCAGCAGCAGGCACTGTGCCCATTTCAGAGCAAGCCTGAATTGATGGGAAGGCTCATGGTTTTTATGAGGATTTGGAAATGCAAAGCATTATTTAGAGGAACATTTAGCAGCATCAAAGTGGGGAAAAAGAAAAGAGAGCCCCTCCATCTGAGCAATAAAACCCCTTAGGAATATGTTAGTCACTCAGCTCTGTGCATTCATGGGGACTTTTTTCTTGTAAGTAATCATTCAAAAAATAGAGAGGGAGAGCAATGGGAGCTGCTTGCAGGGAAAGCAGGGATGGAGAAAGATACCCTAGAGGACTTAGCCTGGAGTATGTCCTTGCTGCACAGCAGTTTGAAATATAGTATCAATTAAAGCTTCCCGTTTTTACAGCCTGCAAAGGGGTTATATATGGTGTGGGTGGATGTTTGTATCTGGATACTTTAGTGGGAGAGGTAAGCGAGGTCCACCGCTGCGTACGGAAGGAAGGAAGAGCTACATTTAGCCAGGGGCTTGTAGGGTTTCATGTTGTAAGTGGAAATAAAGTAAAGGACATAAAGCAGCCTTCTGTCACTTCAAAGACATCTCAGGGCATTTACAGCCTTCTCCCCTCCTCGTTGGAGACGTGTGCCAGAGAAAATGTGGCGATGCCTCTGGGACGTCATGCAGCTCAGGTCAGTGTGGTTTATGGAGGTCAGAGCAGAGGCACCGCCTGTGCAGCTGTGATGCAGCCAGCTCTGCTGAGAGCACCGGTGGCTGCTGCTGCAGCTCCAGCCTGGAGGTGAATGTGGCTGTGTCCTCCTCCAGCTCCTGCAAGGAGAGGGAAAGGAACGCAAACCGAGCACCTCTGTGCACAGCCCTCGTGGGGCAGGTGAAGCCAGGTGAGCACCAGAAAGGGCATCGCTACTTGTGACTGTGAAAACTCAACCCAAACCCACAGTGGGTCAAAGGGGCTGGTAAGGTGGAGGGAGCTGTGCATGTGGCTGTTTTTTTTCCAAGCTTCATGCATCTGCATCTGCCTGCCTGAATGATGACATTGTGAGATTGTCACGCACCTGATCAGTAATTGTTTTGTCTGAAGATTATTTATTTCTTTTCCTCCACAACTATTTCCTTCAAGATGCCACTGGAATTGGATGCTGCTATTAGCAGCTTCTGCTAATTTTCCCCAAAGATCGACAGAGCTCTGCCGTCTGCAATTGTTGGGCTTGCAACAACTTCTCATTTTGGTTTTAATTAAATTTGTTGCTTTAAATTGTTTGCTTTTGACATCTCCTGCTCAATCTTGTGCAGCCCTCAGAGGTGACCAGGCATTAGGTTGGTTCCTCTGGTGCTGGCTCGTGTGGGCTCAGCACGTGCTGCGCATGCGCTCGCATAGAAATGAGCAGTGTGGGAGAGGCGGGCGGTGGGGAATTGCCCAGTGCTGGGCTCTGCTTTGCAGTGAGGAAAAGCTGGAGATGCTCACTGATTTACAAATGAAGCATCCCCACTTTGCACCAGAGGGATGGAGGAAAGGATCCAATCTCAAAGGTTTCCATCCCTCAGCATCCCCCAGGAGCAACCAGGCTGCAGTGCTCCCCAGCCCCCCTGAAATCAATGGGGGAATGGGCTGCCTTGAAATCAGACCATTTGCTCAGCCTGGAGTCTTTCTGCTTTAGAGATGCTGTACGGAGATGTGGGTCAGTGCTTGGGCTGGAGCAGCAGCATCCCCTCTCAGCTCCAGCCTCACTCTGCCTGCCCCAGACGTAACATCTTTTGGTGAGGTGACTGTGTTGGGGCAGCTCTGCAGACTGCATTTAATTTCATCAGCTCTTAATCACTGGGTCATCTCCTGCCTGCCTTACATCTTGCTCTCGCTCCCGCGCCTGCTTGGCTGGCAAGAAAATGTGAGCAAATGGCTGCAGCGTTACCAGACATGAACTCTAAATATTAACATCAATTTATAAACTGTATCAGCATGGATCAAAGGGATTCCAAGACGGTTTTACGGCGTGAACACTCTTTGCATGAGGAACTAATAAGATTCTGTAGGCTGAAGTACATCATGTTTTTATCGTGCCTCTGACAGGCTGTGATCCTGAGCTCGGCTCGTCCCTGTGCTGGGGCAGCTCTGTTTGCAGGG